TTTTTGACAAAATACCTATTTCCATTAATCAATTTGGGAATTACGCAAATCGATATAAAATTTCAAAATTTTCTTCTCAAAAAAATTTAGAAATTTTTATCAGTTCTAGTAAGGAATAGTCAGATATATGTAAAAATAATATATATTCTTGAAAATAATATTGATATAAATGACGTTTACTACGTTTATTACATTTTATACAGGTATATGACGATTTCGACGTTTACACCTTTTTGACAGTCGAAAACCTAAAAATTCGTCACAGCTTCATTGGTTCACCCAAAATTTAAATTGTACCAAATTTAGTACAATATTGTACTCATAACTACGAATTTCTAAAACTGAATCCATACCCCATCCTACACTCTAACAGTGTCCTTATTTCCAAATTTCAGTGTTTCAGCTCTATAGGTTTAATTAAATCCAGATTTGATACCACATTGATTCTAACTCCAAATGTCAATATTTCAGCTTGTAATTGTACCAATTATAGTACCATTTAGAACTGTTCGTACAAATTTCTAAAACTAAGAGTTCTAGCGCTCCCGGTTCGCCAAATACAAGTGGTACCACGTTTAGAACTTTTCGTGTCGTTCTAGTATGAATTTCGAAAAACCGTTTTATTGGACACGTTTCGACCAAGAGTGACCCTTACCTAAAATTTCAAGATTTTAGCTTAAACTCGCAAATCCTTTAGGCATATGGGACATTAAAATATTAATACTTTCAGAAACTGCTTCCCATGTTAGTATTCTGGCTTCAAATAATGGTTTCACAATGCTCTCGGTTTATTTTTAAGTTAATGGTCTCAAAAAAGTTCGTCATCAAACCTAAAATAGAGCGGGTCTTTTATATGGGATCTATGTCATAGACCTATATTTAAAATTGTCGACCGATAGCATTTTAATCCCCAACCCGTATTGTCAATTGACGTCATGTAAATGCTTAAATTTAATTCTACATAAACTAGAAATGCCAATTTCGCACCTTCGCCTGAAAAAAATCTAAGACACTGAACATGGGCGGCAAAAAATCCACGCCTTTAGATGAGACTGTTCTTCAAGGAGTAATTGGGTACCTTAATTCGTCACCATAACAATCCTTATTGTGTTGTAGAAATCAAAACAACGGACGATGTGATGGTTTCATCACTAAATATAGACCACAGTCGTAGTTTATTCCCAATGTCCGATGCATTTCAGTGCTCCCATAACACTATTAGTCCACATAAATAGGTCATATACATATGTAAACAGTACACTAGTTTTGAAGTTGAGTGTTTATTGAATATCTGTGACCTTGATCAAAATCACAAACCATAAAATACTGGCAATAAAGTTGAGGTTTTAGTGATATATATTTGAAATTGAATTATTGCATATTTATGTTAATAAGAACATCTTTGTTATCGTCAGTGATAGTAAAATGAGCACAGTCTCCTTAACAATGACACTGGATGGTATTTTAATTTTATTCATAATCATGGTATTGTGCCTATGATTTGATTGATATGCAAACACATTTGAATGACAATAGATTGATATCAAATTTTAGTATAAAAAATATACATATTTGCGTGTGTAAATTTTGCATATACGTTTTACTATATGTGGGTGATATTATTTCTTTGCCAAGATGGTGTTATGATGTGAAGATTTTGTTTTTGAGAAATGGTTAAATTTTGATTCATTTGACCAGATCACAAGTTTCAAGTCCTTTGCAAATTTTATCCATAACTTTATGTTTGCTTATCCAACGATTCGGATTTGTTTTTTTATGGTTGCAATTAATATCGTAAACATAAGACGTTCATCAGAATTACTTAGAAGCCATTAATGGCCTCTAATCTGAGGCTTGGGAACAACAGAATGCCTGACCACTGTTAGAAAAATTAAATATTTTGCTTTTTGGGTAAAATTTTTCGGTTCCTCAAAGCTAAACTATTTTATAGTAGAAGACGAAGGAGATCTACAAAAAACCTTAGTGTTACCGATGCCCTATATAAATTGAAAATGCATGTGATCGTAACAATATATACGTTAAGCTAGAAACATACCTCAGTTCTTCCACCAGCATACATTCGATATTTTAGAAAAGGTTTTCAATACGAGAAATTTGTTCCTCGTGTCCTGATTGACTGACATAAAGATTCATCATGGTCCAGACGAAATGGCTGGCCAAGACGATTCATCAAGGCCCAGACGAAATTAAAATTTTGGGTGAGGGCCATTCTTAGTCCAAAGTCGTCAGAAAATGTTGTTTTTTAGAAAAGGTTTATATTTAAAGAACCGGTACTGTAGAACTCTTAAATTTGAAAGGAGGATCACTGATGTCTATGTTTTTTTATAACATTCACCACACTGTGGTACGGGGTATTATGTCTTTGTGCATATGTTTGTAACAGGCAAAAATATTCGAGATAGAGCCATGGTTCCTTTTGAGAATATGCATAGAATCACTTTCTGAGTCCATTTATGCATGTCCGTCCGTCCGTCCGTAAGTCTATTTTTGTGAACAAAGTACAGGTCGCATTTATGATCCGATTTGGATGAAATTTGGTCACTTATTTGGCCAAAGGACGAACCCTATTGAAATTGGGAAAACTCGGTTCAGATTTAGATATAGCTCCCATATATATTTTCGTCCGATTTGAGGTAAATAGTGCACCAAAGTCTCTGAAAATCGTTCGATTTGCACGAAATTTGCCATAGCGCACTGAATTAAGTCTAGAATGATGTGTGCAAAGTTTCGTGAAAATCGGTTCATATTTAGATATAGCTCCCATATATAGTTTCGCCCGATTTTAGGTAAATAGTCCATTATTTATCTTTCGATTTGCACGAATAAGGTCTAGAATGATGTGTGCAAAGAGTCGTGAAAATTGGTTCAGATTTAGGTATAGCTCCCATATATAGCTTCGTCCGATTTAAGGTAAATTGTGTACCAAAGTCTCTATATATCTTTGGATTTGTACGAAATTTGACATAGCTTACTGAATTAAGTATAGAATGATGTATGCAAAGTTTCGTGAAAATCGGTTCAGATTTAGATATAGCACCCATATAAATCTTCGTCCAATTTAAGGTAAATGGTGTACCAAAGTCCCTGTATATCCTTAGATTTGCACGAAATTTGGCATAGCGTACTGAATTAAGTCTAGAATGATGTGTGCCGAGTTTCGTGAAAATCGATTCAGATTTAGATATAGCTTCCATATATATATTCATCCGATTTAAGGTAATTGGTGCATTAAAGGTCCTATATGTCTTTCGATTTGCACGAAATTTGGCACAGCGTAATGAATAAGGTCTAGAATGATGTGTGTTATGTTTGGTGAAAATCGGTTCAGATTTAGGTATAGATCCCATATATAGCTTCGTCCGATTTAAGGTAAATTGTGCACCAAAGTCCCTATATATCTTTCGATTTGCACAAAATTTGGCATAGCTTATTGAATTAAGTATAGAATGATGTGTGCAAAGTTTCGTGAAAATCGGTTCAGATTTAGATGTGGCTTCATACATATTTTCGTCCGATTTTATGTAATTGGTGCACCAAAGTCCCTATATATCTTTCGATTTGCACGACTTTTGGTATATGGTACTGAATTAATTCTAGAATGATGTTGCTAGGCCGATTAACACAACGTACTGAAGTAATATAAATTTATCTCTGCAAGTTTCCCTGTTAGGATACATATGTAGACTATACCCAAAGTGGTGAAGGATATCATATAGTCGGTCCGACTTTACTTACCTTACTTTTTTGTTTGTTTGAAAATTCGAACTTTAGGTATGCCAAAAGTTCTAAAATTTGTATGAGTAGTCGGATCGATATATAAAGTGGTTCTGGAAGAATGTACTCATGTATACACAAAGTACTTTATGGTACTATAATTTGTACAATTTTAAATTGGATGTACGGATGGAGCTGAAATGCTGAGTTTTGAAATTAGCATTATCGTTGAAGTATAACGATATGTAGATAGTTTTAGAAAATTGTACTTATGTGGACGAAAAGTACTAAATTGCAATATATTTGTACAATTTTGATTTTGGGTGAAACGATTGAGCTGGGATCCTAAATTTGGAATTAGGATCATTGGAATTAGGATAATCTGTACAAAATGGTTTCAAATGTGGATTTGGGTGAACCGATAGAGCTGGAATCATGACATTTGGAGTTAGGATGACTTTTGAGGTTTTGATGATTTGAGCTATGTAGGTATTTTTGAAAATTCGTAATAATGTGTACTAAATTTGGAGTTAGGGTCACAGTTGGCGTGTAGGATTGGGATATGTAGGACGTTTTGGAAATTACTACTAATATGTACTAAATAGTTCCAATTGGGGATTTAGGTGAGCCTATAGACCTGGAATCTTGAAATTTGAAGTTCGGATCACTGTTGGGGTGAGGGATTGGGCTATGTATATAGTTTTGGAAATTCATACTAAATTCATAATAACATCTATAGATATTTTTTTTTATAAAACAAACGAATCCGTTAAATGTTTCATTATGCCTCCAGTGTTCTGTATTTAGCGACTTTGGAATTTGTTTCTATCCAGAAGGACAAATTTGCCATATATACAATTTTTTAGTTATGGCCCAATCATTATACCCTTCACCACACTGTAGTACAGGGTATTATATCATTGTGAATATTGTGTTTATATAGACCCATGATTTTTTTTGATAATATGCATAGAATCATTTTCGGAGTCGATTATTTAGCCCAAGGACGAACCCTAAGTTTTTCGGATTTTCCAAAAATTATAAAAACAAATTGACTAATAAATTCGTTTTTTATTTTATAAAACTAAAAAAAATGTATGAAATGATGCATAACATAACAACAAATAATAACAACAATTGAGCTAGATATGATTTTAACTATGTGCTATAGAAAAAAAATAACAACAATGAAACTATTTTTTTCGGAATTTTTCAAAAATTCCGTCAATTATCACAATGGAAATTTCTCGAGAAATTTGCAACATTTAGTGTCTTTTGTTGTAGACATAACCACCGTTTGAACCATAAACAGTGCCGACTTCTTGACCTTGCGAACTGGCAGGGAAAGTAACCTTTTGTGGGGCTGGGACAGAGTATTGGTTTGTGGCCTGTTGGTTGGCATGTGATTCAACTGCGGATGAAGTTGTGTAGCTTTGTTGAGTACCGGCATTTTGATAATTGTAGCCACCATTGTCGGAGGTGGTTGTGGTGGTGGTAGCAACAGCTGGGGCGGAGTAAGTTTGTTGTTGAACGGGAGCAGCAGCTGGGGCAGTGTATGTTTGTTGTTGGACTGAAGTAGTATAGGTTTGTTGTTGAACTGGAGCAGTGTAGGTTTGTTGTTGAACTGGAGCAGCGGCTGGAGCAGAGTAAGTCTGTTGTTGAACTGGAGCTGGGGCAGCAACTGGTTCTTGATAGTTGTATGAGCCATTGTCAACAGGGGCAGCAGGAGCTGTGTAAGTTTGTTGAACGGCAACAGGAGCAGAGTAAGTTTGTTGAACTTGAGTGGTTGCTGGGGCCGAATAGGTTTGCTGTTGAACGGTAGCAGTAGGTCCTTGATAATTGTAGGCACCATTTTCAGCAGTTGCTACAGCATTTGAGTAGGATTGTTGGACAGTGGTTGTGGTGGCAGCTGGGGCGGAGTAAGTTTGTTGAACGGGAGCCGAGTACGTTTCTTGTTGAACTGGAGCTGAGTAAGTTTGTTGAACGGTGGTAGTGGTGACAGCTGGGGCAGAGTAAGATTCTTGTTGTTGGACGGGGGCAGAGTACGATTGTTGAACAGTGGCAGCAGCTGGTCCTTGATAATTATAGGCACCATTATCAGCTACAGCTGGAGCGGTATAGGTCTGTTGAACTTGAGCGGTAGCAGCTGGAGCGGAGTAGGTCTGTTGAACCTGAGTAGTAGCAACTGGAGCAGTGTAGGTCTGTTGAACTGGTGCGGAATAGCTTTGTTCTTGGGACACAGCAACTGGGGCAGATTGTTGGGTCTGGGGTTGATAGTTGTAAGAACCATTGTCTACAGCAGTAGTGGTAGTGGCGGCAGAGGTATACGATTGTTGGGTGTTAGCTTGATATGTTTGTTGTTGAACTTGTTCAGCACCAGAGTAAGTTTGTTGGGCAGCATAGGTTTGTTGGACGGGAGCAGTGTAGGTTTGTTGAACAGTAGCGGCAGGAGCTTGATAGCTATAAGTACCAGTAGCTGCAGGAGCAGTATAACTTTGTTGAACAGGAGCGGGAGCTGAGTAAGTTTGCTGTTGTTGCTGGACTTGAACGGGAGCGGAGTAGGATTGTTGTTGAACTGGAGCAGCAACGGGTGCGGAGTAGGATTGTTGTTGTTGCACAGAAACCGAAGCAGCAGGTTGATAGTTGTAGGCACCATTGTTAGCGACAGTTTCAGTAACAGCTCCAGTATTATAAGTTTGTTGCTGGACTTGAGTGGTGACAGGGGGTAAATACTCATTGGATGGACCAGCAGCTGGAGCAGAGTAACTTTGTTGTTGTTGTTGTGCAGCAGCACTATACGATCCAGAGGTAGAGACCGATTGGGCAGAAACTTCACCACCACTTACATGTTGCATAGTGAAACTGGCAATTGGCACCGAAGGTCTAATCGATTCCACATGAATTTGGGAGGATTGAGTTGAGTAAGACTGTTGGCCGGGACTATAGGCAGCTACTTCGTTAGATGCCGATGCTGGGGCAGGGTAATTGTATTTCTGCAATTCACTGACATCGGCAGCAGCCAAAGTGGCCATAACGGCCAGACTCATAACAATGAACATTTTCTGGAAGAGGGGAAACAAAACACACATGAGGATATATTTTATATTTTTCATTTTTGAAAAATCACTGTTTTAATTTGAAAAATTTTGAATTCTATTGTTTCAGATTTTTTTTATTTAAATATTTTCATTTTCATTATTTGTTTTACACTAACCATTTTGTATTCAGTGCTTTAGGCTTATCGTTAGATGGGTTGTATAGCACACGAATGTAAAAACTCGACTGATGATCTGCAACAGTTTGCCCAAACAATTTATAAGACAACTTGGCGGATCTTCACATTTCATTTGTTTACAACACCAATGCTTAAGATAACTAAATGAATGAATATTGTTTTTATTTTTGTTTGCTTCTTCTTCTCTATCGTTGGAGAGCACTACAAAATTGTGGTGGTGCACCAACAAACATTGATCATCTTCATAATTTGCCTCGAGTGTCTCAATAAAGAGATGCCATCCAATAGTTTGTTTTTTGCGAAATTGGTTCAAAATATTTATCTCTGATAATCTTGAGATAAGACGTCATCACCACCAGTAACAATTCATAATTATTTTTATAGCCGCTCAACGCATATTCAACACTCACATAACCAGCTCAGGGCCTCATTAAGTGATGGCGTTAAGTTTTTTGTTTGTTTGTTTGTTTATTTGACAGTAAGTTACTGTGTCAGTTGTTCATACAGCGATTTGGGTCTACAATATGGTCAACCAACTTCTCATGCTCTTCTAAAATCATAATGAAATTTATGGCAGTATAACTGCCTGCCAGTCATTCCGGTTAAGAATAATTTATCTCATTAACCAAATGTTTATTTAAAAAATATAAATGTTGCTAATATATTATTTTTTAATTGAATTTTTAATCAACACCTTTGTGCACATGTCATGATATCATATGTAAATGAAGGTTAGAGTTCGCAATGCCATACACAACCTCTTGTGTCCGTAATCAAAGTTTGTTTGCAATAAGTGAACATTGCACACCTACACAAAACATCTCATTAGTCTTAAGAGTTCCTCAAGGGTTCGTGAGAATAACGTGAGGGTTTCACCAAGAAACAAAAACAGGTAAAAACTTATTATATTTGAATTTGAAGTTTGTGTACACTTCGCCATGAGGTGTGCATTCAAAATATAAAAAAATGAAATGACTACCAATAGGTATTTTATCCTCTGAAATTCTCTAAATTCCTTTTTATAACCATGTTTTTTGAAAATTGGCCGAGCACCACTACAAATATCTAAAATGCGGGGTGGGACCTTTATATGCGGGGAATGACAACGATTTCAACAAAACTTGACACACGTTATGTTATAGTTCGTTTTTGGATCAAACAAATGATCTGTTCCAAATTTTATCCAATTCTGATCAAAAATGCAACCTATACTTTATTTACAATTCAACATGGGCAGACGGACGGAAGGACGGATGAACGAAGGTCGGATGCACATGACAGTAGCGGCTGGAGCAGAGTAGGTCTGTTGTTGAACTGGAGCTGGGGCAGCAACTGTGTCATTGCCAACAAGAGCAGCAGGAACATAGTAGGTATGTTGAACTTGAGTGGTTCATGGGGTCGAATAGGTTTGCTGTTGAACGGTAGCAGGAGGTACTTTATAAATGTAGGTGCCATTGTCAGCAGTTGCTACAGAATTGGAGTAGGATTGTTGGACAGTAGTATGCATGCTGAGCGGGAGCCTAGTAGGTTTGTTGTTGAACTGGAGCAGAGTAATATTTTTGTTGTTGGACTGGAACAGAGTAAGATTGTTGCTGTTGGACGGATGTAGAGTACGATTGTTCAACAGTGGTCCGTGATAATTATAGGTGCCATAATCAGCTGGAGCGGTATTGGTCTGTTAAAGTTGGGCGGTTGTCCTAGTTTAACATCAAAAATTCCTGAACGGAATCTACGGAACCAAAATGGCACATAATTGGCTGTTACAGTATCGGAACCATAAGCACCATTCACAATTTTATCCGCTTGGCTTGCACTTTCGCTTTTGTCAAGTAGAAACTGTAAAATGTACCGAATATTCTCTTTATTCACTTCCATTTTTAAGACCCTTTAACTCACAACTGAATGCACCAATCAAAAAACAGCAAATTATTTTTTTATTTTGATCGATACTTTACGATAAATCTATTAGTACAGCCATCTGCCGAAAAATAAGGAATTATATATTTATTTAAAAAAAAAAAACAGTCAGGCGGACAAAACGACATGACAAAATCGTGGAATTGCCGACAAATATTTGAAATCGCAAAATAAAAATTCAGATTACTTTATGGGAGGGTATTCAAATGCCAGTAAAGATTACAGTGGTTTCATCTCAATCGGATTGAACAAATATTTATAGCTTTTTTGCTGATACATATTTACACTTTTATTACTATTTCTGAAATATATAGTAGCCTTCGTATTAAATTGTCTATTTTAAAAAATGCAATATCTTTTGTAATTTCAATAGAAAGCGGACTGACTTGACTTGCCAAAAATGTCGTGATAAAGGCAATGTCAAAGGCAAATTTTTTATTTCATTAATTTTTCTGCCCTATTTAAATATAGTAAGATCTAATCTAAAATGAACATAAATTCATCGATCCGGTTTTGTAATTTGTTATGGCACGAAAATTGGAAATTTTGGAATTTAAATTAAAAAACTATTTACATAAAATTTAATGACGTATCAAAGAGATGAACTTATTTTGATTTAATTTATCGTGATCCTAGATAACAAATTCCATTAAGTTGTAACGGAAACATTCTTTGCTCCAATTATTAAATAATCTCATAATTACCGATTAATGTCATTAGTCATATTTCATCATAATTATTATGGATAAAATATAGCCACGATTAGATGTACCACAAACCAAGTTTGGTTGACGTAGCTAATACAGATAATTATGCAAATTTTTATTTTAAATCTATCACATTTTGCCTTTGGTTTATATATGTGCAAACAAACAAAAATCTCATAAAAATTTAACGCCACTATTAATGATAACAAATAAAATCAAATCTCTTCACTTTTTTATTATATACAAAAATAAACCTATTATTAGTACACCTAATTAGTGCATACCTATAACGATCCAGTTTTTATAACCTTCACCACACTGTCGTACTTATTTGTTTGTACATATGTTTATACCCTTCACCACACCGTGGTACAGGGTAGTATGTCTTTGTGCATATGCTTGTAACAGGCAAAAGGAATCGAGATAGGCCCATGGTTTCTTTTGAGAATATGCATAGAATCACTTTCTGAGTCGATTTATGCATGTCCTTCCGTCCGTCTGTTGATGTTAAATTGTAAACAAAGTTCAGGTCGCATTTTTAATCCAATTTGTATGAAATTTGGCACAGCCCATTTATTTGGCCCAAGGACGAACATTGATGAAAATCGGTGACATTGGTGAAAATCGGTTCAGATGTAGATGTAGCTCCGATATAAATTTTCGTCCCATATATAGCTCCCATATATACAAGTTTCCCCGATTTTAGGTAAATAATGCGCTAAAGTCCCTGGAAATCTTTTGATTTGAATTATGATGAATTAAGTCTAGAATGATGTGTACAAAGTTTCGTGAAAATCGGTTTAGATTTAGATATAGCTCCCATATGTATTTTTATCCGATTTAAGGTAATTTGTGCACCAAAGTCCATATTTATCTTTCGATTTGCACGAAATTCGGCATAGTGTACTGAATTGCGTCTATAATTATGTGTGCTAAGCTTTATAAAAATCTTTTCAGATTTAGATATAGGTCCCATATATAGTTTGGCCCGATTTTAGGTAAATGGTTTCATGAAAATCGCTTCAGATTTAGAAATAGCTCCCATATATAGTTTCCCCCGATTTTAGGTAAATGGTGCACCGAAGTCCCTGAAAATCAGTTCATTTGCACGAATTTTGGCATAGCTTATTGAATTAAGTCTAATATGACTGTGTGCTAAGTTTCGTTAAAATCGGTTCAGATTTAGATATAGCACATAGTTTCGCCCGAAATCATTCGATTTGCCCCAAATTTGTTATAGCGTACTGAATTAAGTCTAGAATAATGTGTGCAAAGAAAATCGGTTAGATATAGCTCCCATAGGGGAGAGGGGGGTACCTTTGAATAGCGCTCATAAAATCTTGGTTTAAATTTTTTCCGACCCGCTACCACATTTTTGTATATGGCAATCTTGTTCTTTATCTGCGTAAACCACTTTGGCTAGCTTTTTCAATTGTCGACAAATTGTACATGGGTGACCATGTTTTCGCAGTGTAATTGCAGGGTAAAATATTTATATCAAGCTTAAAGTATGTCACATGTATATTCATTGTAAAGGTTACATATGTACCTATTAGTTAAAAGTTATAAAAAACCAAAAATTATAAAATAAAAAAATTTATGAGGCTTGAAAGAAAAAAGTGTTCAAAGGTGCCCCCCTCTCCCCTATATATTTTAATCCAATTTTATGTAATTGGTGCATCAAAGTCTCCGAAAATCATTCGATTTCCCTATATATGTTTCGATTTGCACGAAATTTGTCATAGCGTACTGAATTAAGTCTAGAATGACGTGTGCTAAGTTTCATGAAAATCTGTGCAGATTTACATATAACTCTGATATATATATTTTCGTGCGATTTTATGTAATTGGTGCATCATTTTGCAATAATTTTGGTATATGGTACTGAATTAAGTATAGAATGATGTGTGTTAGGATACATATGGGCACTTCCGCAATCACTTACACGACTTTCAGATGCAAAATCAAACTTTAAATTTTAAATAAATCAAAAACAATTACATCTTTTACAATTCTCTCTAAATACTTTTTTGTGGAACTTTAGGAGTACTGTCAGTGGTAAAAAAATTGAGGGCCTCCGGTTTTTATCTTTCGAGATAGGAGCGAGTGATCGCTGCGACTTCAAATATACATGACTTTAGACACCATGGCTAATAATGGGAAAACTTTGCGAATTGTGTGAATATTTTCCTTTTTCCGGAAATGCCCATATATAGAATATACCCAAAGTAGTGGAGGGTATCATATAGTCGGCCCAGTCCGACTTAACTACTTTCCTTACTGGTTTTATTCATGTTTTTTTTTTTTTTGAAAATAAAATTGTACAAAATTCTTACAAATACTGACATTTTTTATGTTCAAATGTGTGATTGTATTTGTGTGGTTTGTTCTCATTTCCTATTTGACTCTCATTTAT